ATTTTTTTCATTTTTATTTTTTTCACTGCATTGGTCAGTTTATACACCCGAGGAATTCCTAATCCTGCTCCGGCTGAGCCTTGAATTTCAGCAACTAACGAAAGAAAGAATATACGTAAACATTAATTTCTGACACGCGATTCGAAGCCYACCCCCAATCAATCACTCTGATAAATTAAACATTTATTGGTAATTGTCACTTGAATATAGATCAGACTTTACACGGTATCTCTGTATCACATGTCTGCAAAGAACTCTTGGGTAGTGCCGTGAAGACCCCTGGGTACTATTGCGCAATTACGGAGACACGCATTTTTAGACTGGGCTGTCACAGGCAACCCAGTAACGAGAACTGAATATACCAACTTACTTGTAAATATCCTATTTGATATCTAGAATCACACATTTCCCCTGTACGAATTCGCCAGTAAATTCATGCGAGTACACGCTGCAGTGGTCGGTAACGATCAGGTACGTATGCCATATACACACTTTGATTCTAACCGCCGGCCCTTATGACGTAAATGTAGTTAAGTATAAGATTTTAATCCCCCCCCCCCTTCACAGGCGTTTACAAAGTTCGGAAACTTTACCTATACTGAATATAAGGTAAGATAAAAATAAAGGATTTTTTTCCAAAGTGCTTCTATTTCCAGAACAAGCAAGCGACCGAATCTAGTCTACCAAGCTATGTCATCAATCATGGTGTCTTGAAAAGCGAAGATCTTGACAGACTTATTACAAAATCTAAAGTAAGAACCTTGTCTTACCATCACAATAACATAAGACATACTACAAGACCACAAAACATCACATTTCACTAAAACACTCTTCTGAACACTAGTCAAGTCAAGTCAAGTTTATTTCACACACAAAATTACAATACAAAAATATAGGAATGATTAAATAGAGTTGAACAGTTATGAAAAATACAGAATAAATATTTACAAAGCGAGATCACGTTTAGTGTGTATGGCTGTTGAAAAAGTATAAACTATCAAGTCAACAGCCATCCATTATCAAGTATTAAGAGAATAATTAATGCATTGACCAAGATAGTGTATTTTACATTAAATATGATTTATCACTTTTGTGAGTGAATGAGATAAATTTTCTAATACCTTGCCATATCAGACCGTAGCTTTCAACACAACACAACACAACACAACACAACACAACACAACACAACACAACACAACACAACACAACACAACACAACACACCGCACCGCACCGCATTGCATTGCATCACACCACACAACAAATCACGTCGCATTACATCATATAGCTCACTATACCACAATTTTACCAAACCACAACATAGAACAACACACCACAATTACATCATTCTAAATTACAAATCATACTTTACTTTATATCACATATCACACTGGCCCCACAACACCCCATCAAACCACACGAAACCACACCTGACAATGCTTTTTATATCACATTACATCATAGCACACTGGCCCCACCACACTCCATCAAACCACACCTGACAATGTTTTTTATATCACATTACATCATAGCACACTGGCCCCACCACACCCCCATMAAACCACACCTGACAATGCTTTTTATATCACATTACATCATAGCACACTGGCCCTACCACACCCACATCAAACCACACAAAACCACACCTGACAATGCTTTTTATAGCTTTTACTAAGCTTTTAATTATGTTATTTATTTGTTATGGCAGGCAGTTATTGGTTTGGGCAAACCATCGGAGGGTGTTTTGCCTTTAGTTGCAGTAGGAAAAGGATGTGTGTTCATTAATCCAAAGGTATTTGATCCGAATCATTAGAGTGTACTTTTAATTTTATTTTATATGTTTAAGCCGCACGGCATCCCTTATATAGGCTTTTTCTGCAGATATCAAACATATTATTTTGTAGCGTAGCGTGCAAACATTACTATACATTTTACTCACAACTCCCGCCCTCTGACAGGCTGAGGACGTAGGTTCACCCATTCCTTGATAGCGTCTGTACTTCACATCCTAGAAGATTTATTTTTCATCCTGCCAAGACTGCGGCAAGTCCATCCTTTCGGACTCCCTAGTTTTTGGATTCACGCCTGTATGCAGAACAGCGATTGATGAATAAATATGGTTTGTTCTTATAGTACGATTCTCCTAAATATCGTTTAAATTCGGACTTTCTTAAGGATAAGCCGTCACTAAGACAGGTAAGTAACTGATAACTGATACCTATACAATCACAGCATACCTTAAATCGATCTTTTTTAATTTACTTTTTTCGATTGTACCTTGCATTTAGCTGGCTTCTCAACACCCATATTTGGAGAAATTCGTAGGCAAACCTCACGTGATTACACTGGACTTAAACAACGATACTGAGTTTAAAGAAGCTATCAGAAGAATTGCAAAAACTAAGGTAAAGACAAACGAAAACGCCATTTTATATCAGTGGCGTATCGATAGTGGCCAGAGTCGAAGGGGCGAGCACACGCGTTTTGGCGCGAAAATTCCCGCCAAATCTTCAGGTAGCCCATCAACGCCATCGCTATCGCCATATTTCCAACTTTATTGTAGCTTGTTCAAGCGAACCAAATACTTGCACATGCAAATCTCAAGCTGGCCTTAAATTAAAACGAACCCGAGACCCCGGAGGTGAGAGGAGAGTGAGCTACACGCTACACAAACCTTGACCAACCTATTGATATGTTTACGTATTGTGACAGGTCAGGACGTATATTCCATTCGAGTTCACAGCAGAAGGATTTCTACAAAGAATAAATGCTTACGTGGAAAACCAGGTAAACACAAATCAGAGAACTAAATTTTTTTACGGAGTTCTTCAAAGCCTCTCCTAATTGGCAGAGGTTTTCTCATTTTCCTTTCTTTTAGATGCCCCCTTGTGACCCCCTTGTGGATCAGTAGTATCTTCGCGGTGCTCCTGTATTGAGAACCATATGCAGCAGTTGCGTTAAGTCTGATGTTCACATCATCGTACAAAATGCCTCTGTCTCCTGTCCAGCCACTATTAGTTTTGTCACGCTTTCTCTAGTAGTGGCACTGCGGCTGCGCATGAGATTAAGCCATTCAAAACTACAATAGATCTTAACAGAAACAAAGTCTTTAGAGATCAAAACATTAACTGCACACGGATATTAAATTTATGCAAAGCTCATCTCAGATTTAATGCTAAATAATCGATGGATCACGAGAAGCGGAGAATGAACACCTTTTAGTCAGACGATTCAATCTCGTGAATCTCACTACTAGATAGCCTTGAATTGGCGGACAAGTGCTACCGGTCAGGCTAATTGGTCTATAAAGCTTTCTTATGAAAGCTAGACAGCCGGATGGTAAACTCCACAAGAAACCAAAACTGATGTTTGTTGTGAGCATGCGTAATAGACCTCTTAACCTTGGGTGAAATGTTTCCCATTTCAGACCAAGTGTCATTTTCTTCAGGATAAGATTCTTTGTTTGAGTTGCATCCATATTATGCTCTTATGCACAACGGTTAAATAAAGAAATTATACTTAATTAGGAAATGACACAGACGAGGTTTGAAAAGAAAAAAACATTACGCCCAAGGTAAATTATAGGTCTAACATTAAGCAAAATGATCGTGCAATTTTGCACGCATACACACATCTCAATTTACCTTTGAAGGTTAAATAAAAGATTGAAGAGTTACTAGGCTATCAAGTCATAGATGTGCGATTCTCTGTAGAGACGATTCGCTTCAATATTGACTTTAATGGGAACTTGACATGAAATTAAGCAATAAAAAACGCCTTMGGTATGGAAAACAAACTTAGCTTTACATTTGACAAATATACCCGGTTCCAAAAAGATGAGTAAAATTAAGGAGATGTTATGGAAGATGTCTCCGGTAGTTTCCGCTTCATTTAATCAAATGTCAAAAATTTCAAACAAAGTACTTTGCAAGGTCTAACATTCATGTCTTTTTTTTTTTTTTCTTTCCTTTTTTACCACTCACCCATATTTTCCTCACAAATATATCAATACTCGTACAACAAAATTATTAATTTCAAACATGGAAGCGTTGTCCAATTTTTAGTTTTTGTTATTTGCAATTGAGGAAAAAATATTTCGTGCTCATTACATGCTTGAGACCTGCACCTGATGACATTAGAGAGTTTGGTTTATTTTTTTTTAGGATTTTTGTCACCAGTCAGACTGGCCCACAGTATTGGAACTACAAATCAAGATTGGTACGACAGGGCAATCCTGTCATGACGTATGTAGCGAAAAAGGTATTAGAATAGCCCATGGACCATTGTCAGGGAATGGGGTGGGATGGGATGGAGTGAAGGGGGGTTGGGTGRGGTAAGGTGTGTTGGATGTAATTATTTGCTGGTTTATTAGAATTAAATTCGATTATCAATCTTTTTTGTTTTTGTTTTTTGTTTTTGTATCCTCGATCTTAATTTGTGCTTCTGAAGATAACTCGGATGGGCTCTTATTTCTCAGTTACCAATCTTTGTYCTCATGGCAAAAAGTAGCTTTAGTAGATCCAAGTATATCCTTGTTAACACGTTAAGCGAGTTTAAATTTAAGTGAAATTAAGGCTATCAGGGCAAAAGTAATCCAACATGGCCGTCAATATAAATAACGTGTCGTCTTGTCCACACAGGCTTGATATGTGAACCTGAATATTTCAATGCTGTCAATTCTACGTAAGTATATAATAGAGAGAGAAGGCGTTTTCACACACGTGACAAGGCAGCCATATTGGTGTACCAAACAACAGAAATTTTTTGCACAGTTTTTGCATTAAAAAAGAGTTCAATTCCCCAAGGATAGAAAATGTATTTTTTTGGTACACCAACATGGCTGCTGTGACGTCACGTGAAAACGCTCTATTGATGGGTTGCAAGCATTCCCAAGAGAGTTAAAAGGCAAAAGCATGGCTGCCATAGTGGTGCCGTTAACAATGGATGCTAATAAGAAATCCTTTGTTAAATGGTACCAACGCTCCCCCAAGAGGCCGCGATGACGTAACTTGCAATCGAAGAATACAAAGTCTCCGGTTTTCCTCCCTCCGCAAAATCTAACCAGCTAAATCCCAATTCAACCTGTGAGTTAGTCGCGTCCTAATTTTTATCAGCAGGTTGTTTAACGGTTTCGATCAAATTTGAAGGTTTTAATTAAGAAAACACATATTTAGATGAATGCACAACGATACTGCATCGTATCATTTGCCAACCCTGCCCGTCTCTTTACCCTTTAGAAATATACAAATTGAAAGCTCCCTTGCAAATATATTTCAACGAATATTTCTAAATCTGTCGTTTTATTTCAATTTTTTCACAGCAAGATCCATGGCTGTCGGATCACGCATTCAGTAGAATCGGTCTTCGCACCAGCTAAAGAAGCCAACTCCACAAACTGCATCACACAAAGTCAACCATTGCTGTTCAGCTGTCTAAGGGCCAGCCCCCGTTATAGACGTGTTTGCCCCTGTAGAACGTATAAAACTGGGCAGAGAGCACTGTGCGAGGAATGTTAGATTCTCCTGGTATTTGATCTATGTGACGACATCATCGCCGCCATGTTTGTTCAATGTCATTAGTTTAACCAAAGATCAATTGTAATTCTTGTTCAATATTAGACTTTCTCTAAACTAAAACAAATCGTTAAAATTTTTGTCCATATAACTATGTTTATACATTAGCGATTCCAATCTCGTGTTTATCACAAAGTCAGGATCAAGAGTTGGAAGTGACACTCATGTCCCGGATGTGTGACGTCAGAGCTGTCAAAATGGAGGACAGTAGTTGACTTGGTAAAATCAATATTTAAGAGTTTTTTGAGCAGTTTTCTTTTCTTCAAAAAACAAAACAGGAAAAGCGTCATATGATATAGAGAAAGGCTATAAAAGAATCGTTTTTAGTTTTTTTTAGTTTTTGAATTAAAGCAGCAAAATTCAACATTCAAAGTTCAACATTCAAAGTTCAATATTCATACAGCTTGGATGATAATTACAGATTTACATCTATTTACTGGCCAATTATGTCCATATATAAAGATGATGGCCTGTTCAAATACTTCATGATCAAATATTTTAATGTGACTCTATATCTTTCCTAATCATGCAAAACTAATATAACTTCTAAAGTCAGTAATCTCACCTCGATATTCAATATATCGGTTGATATTCGATAACTGAGATCTATTCCGTGTCAACCGGCTATGCCTGTATCTCAAGAATACTAAGCTAAAATTTAGAAATAAATTTTATAGAAAGAAACTTGTAGCATAACTATTGTTTATGCAAATAACGACATTAGATTACATTGGGGAATCAGTGATACTGATAAGAAAACAAAGGCGCGCGCGAAATAAGAGCTGCAGTGGATTTTTGAGTGATTTTTCCACCTGTTTGTGTTATGGAGCGGAAATATCTTGAGTTTTCTATTCCTTCACCATTATTTTTCAAAGACAAAAATCTATTTAACATATTGCATTTATTAGCATGTTTTTAACATGCTTATGAAAGTCATTAATTGTTGAATTCGACTAACTTTTGTGCTTCTCGGTCTTCAGTTCCCGGAGATTGTCTCGTACCAAATAATAATATACTTATAAAGAATCTGTCAGTTTTCTAGCAAGTGATAGCTGTATAGCGACAGTTGATAACTGCAACTGAATCGCCTGGATTGTTCTGGATAGTCCTGGATTGTCCTATCATCTTTTCAAGATTTTTTGGTGAATAAATTAACTTCTTTCGTAAATTTCATGTACATCATTTACTTGTACTTGTTCGGAAGGAGCCATTTCTGCAACAGTTTGCAAAACAGTTAAATCTTCCTGGGTTGTCGAGGAGACGAAGAATGACCTTTTTGAATCGTTTCTCCCTAGCAGCATAGATAACTGGGTTGGAGACAGCACTGAAATACGTTAACCAGCAAATTACGGTGTCAAACTTGTCCAAAAGACACTCGCTCTGCTTGCTATACATGTAAAACAGTTGATAGATTAAGAATGGAAACCAGGTCAACGAGAAGCCAAACAGAACAAGACAAACTGTTTTACTTGAGCTCAAGTTCTGCAGCAAACTATTTTGCCTTCGAACGGGGACAAAATGACAGGCTCGAATTCTTGCCGAAACTTGAACATTTATGCATCGCATATGGCGTCTCATAATGCGAAAAATACGTATGTAAAGTACAATTATTATACAGAATGGCAAGAGGACGTTAATGAGGAGAAATGGAATGAAAAAGAGCGCACTGATTTGGAAACTATAAACTCCATTGACAGGTTCATCGAAGGCAAAGAACATTAAGACGCCAATAACAAGTGCGTAACTCCAGATAAAAATGAGTAGCTGCATCACCCGTTCTTGGGTGAGGTAGTACATATAGTGCAGGGGATAGCGAATACGTATATAACGGTCCAAGCTAACTGCGGTGAAGTTCAAGATTGACGCCGCAAGAAGGCTCAAGAAAACTGCATTCCAGACATTGTTTACTGTTCCAGAGAAGGGGATCCACGGAAAGTGCACCAGATAGATTATTTCCATTGGGATAAGAATAATAGATGAAATAACATCAGTGACAGCCAGATTGATGATGAAAGCACAAGAGAGTGTCCTCAATGTCGCGTCCAGATAAAAAGACAAGAGAATAAGACCGTTGAAAGTGACTGATAGAAGAAGTGTTCCAGCAATGAAGATCAAACCACACACCAAAAAACTTTGGCCCAGCGAGTGGCATGGTGAGGACACCTCTACAGTTTGGTTGTCCATCCTTTAAAACCTTCGAATGATTCTTGCAGCCCTGCTCACTCACTCAAATAGTGGAAAGCTTTGAAATAATGGAGACGATATCCATAGCTAGTGAGTGGACGGCTTCCGACGTGCTATCGCTTTACATTTCTCTGATCAGATTCATCAATCCTGTCTCCAGGACCGGCTGGCCGGAGCTGTTATGAGTGGAAAATCAAATAACAAGCAAGCCAGGTTTTCTCTTTCTAATCTTGTCTAGTTAAATGCTTTAGAATTTAATTCAAGGCTAATATTTCTTATGCAATGCAAAAAGTACCTCGAAGCAAAGAGCTAAAGTACCTGTTCATCGATTTTCGAAATGATAAAGATTTTGAACACGAGCTGCCTTTATGTACGTATAAGCCGCTATCGAGAAATAGGAAACATCAAACTGGTTTTTCTCTTGATTATCTTGACAGTGCAGAATAAATATCTTTTTTCAGAATGCAATTTCCTATTCTACTTAGTTCCGTCATCCAATAGCGAAACAGATTTTAGACGCCCTCATAGTGCTTGTCATACAATATCAACATGCGAAGACAATTTTATCTGATCTATTTTCCCGCCAAATACTGAAAAATTAAAGCCTCGCAACAACGATTCATTCTGTTTTAAAACATCGAATGTGATTTTTTTCTAGTTTTTTATATGATAACTCATAACGTTTTAGGATCTGAAACTTTTACTTTCGACAAAAATATTTAATACGTACATATACTTTAGCTTTTCTAAGATAATTTTAATACGATAAGACGAACCGGACAATGCCGATCGATAAGGTAGTTTTTAGTTCGTAGCCCTCGTTTTTTATTTTCTTGAGGTTTTTCAATCGTTTACTTAACTCGGTTATTACAGCAATTCATAATTAGTATAAGTAGCAAGAAAGCTGTGTTCAATTCATGGTTCGTTCATCATATATCGTTGGAATTTTGAATGTACTCTGAATGAAAAAAGGTGGTCATTACTAATCTGCATTCCAATTTTGCACTTTCCTTTTTCTTAACCCTCAATGGATCATTATTGTTATCAAGTTAGTCTTATACATTAATGAAGAGAGCTAGTTTCCCACTGAGAGATTAATGACAAATACTTCCAGTTCTTATTTAAGATAGAAAAATTAATAAGATTTCCGTAAACGATAATGAAAAAGAAAGAAACAGTATAAAACACAACACAAACAAACAGTGTAATGAAGTGAGCAACTCAATCTATCCATCAAACTGTCAGACTTTTTCGGGGGGAAAACAACCCTGACTGCAGACTTATACCCTGACTTATACTTTGACATTCTATAGTGCTAATTCATAGAAGAAAAAAATACTTTACAGATGCTATCATACTATTTGTATAGTTTTGAGGCTCTACATTGTTGGCATGGTAATAACAGCTTCACACATGCTGTCATGACAACAATATGACAACTTCCTTGTTTCGCGCATATATTTTAACTTACAGGTTGATATATAAGAGTAATTCTTATATCTCTTCCATCTTTCCTTCCTTCCTTCCTTTCTTCTTTTTTTCCTTTCTTTTCCTTCTTAGCCGTTCTTGTCTTTACTTGTCTCGCTTTTTGTCCTTCTAGTTCTTATTACATTTAATGTTTTCTATAGATAAGATCACATATCTTCACAATCACTGTTCCAGGGAAGTCAAATGAATGAATAACTTTCCCTGTGAAACAGAGATGAATGTATCTGGTACTCGGTATTCGTGCATGATAGTCGATCGAAAGGAAACAAAGCAATAGAAAAAGATACTATGAATTGTCACTATTTATCATTAGTTGACCATCCATTTGAAGTGCAAAGTGAAATCACTCTCTTACTAATTACTGCCTCCTAATATTTTTCTTTAATATTTGTGTCCCAGTCGTCTCTTCTCATTTTTCTTTCTTTCTTTCCTTCTTTCTTTTTTTTCATTTCTTTTTTTTTTTTATGTCATCGACCAGGCGATACCTTTGGGACTAGACCGAGAGAGACTATGGGTAGTAAAAAATCCCTAAAGTCTTCGGGTTTTACGATAGGAAAACAAAATTCGTTGTTTACGATTACGATGGTTGATTANTTTTTTTTTTTTTTTTTTTTTTTTTTTTTGTTTGTTTACTCTTTTTCTTTTCATTCTTTTTCTTCTTCTACTTTTCTGCGAAAACTTGTGTAACAAAACAGAGTTCTTAATTGTTATTTGAATCGTTTCTGTTTCAAGTATTGACCACTTTAGTAATAGTGTTTTCATATTAAAGGTAATCAGTAATTTATGTAAATATGTTCCAAAACATATACCCTTGGCAGAAGATCTTCCGCATGAGTCAGCTTTAATAATAAAAAAACTGGAAGATCACATGTCGATGGGCGAGTTATGACATTTTCCTCCTGCTCTTTGCATGTTGTTGATTCAACAGCAAGATAACTAAATACACTGATACCACGAGAGGAGCGCTGCATTTGTACCTTCTATTTGTCTAAGTATACAGTGTTCTCCTGTCTGTAATGTATGTCTTTCTGCCAAGTCTTTGTATGATCAATCTGTCTGGCTATCTGTCTGGGTTTTTTTTGGGTTTTTTTTGGTTTTTTTGTCGTTGTTCTTGTTGTGCGGTTGTTGTTTTGTTTGTTTGGTTGTTTGCGTTTGTTTGTTTTTTTTATTTGTTTGTTTAATGGTGACGTTCGTTGCCCGTTTCTTTTTTTTTTTTTTTTTTTTTTTTTTTTTCTCTCCGGTACTTTTTTTTTTGTTTTACAAATAAATCTCGCCAAGAAAATCAAGAAGGAATTACGTACAAATAAAGCAGGAGCATTACGATGATGAACAGGACTGATTTGAGAATCTTTTCTTTTTTTTTTTTTTACTTCAAGTAATGGCTATCAATCGATCTTTCTGTGCATGTAATATTCCTAATGCTCTCACTTGGAGTTTACGTTTCAAGGGTTTAAAACAACTCGGTAGGATTATAGCTAATCTTAACTTGATCATAATCGATCAAGGATAAGTCACTTAGGGAGGTTAAACGATGTGTCGATACTGAGTCGTTTTAACCATATTCCAACAGCAGGTAATAAATTGCATGGATTTTCTTAAGATTCCCCGGCACAAAAATGAGAACCATTTTGTCTCATAGGATGTTTCTTTTTATATCAACATAGAACATAACTTTTAAATATGTTGACATTTAGTCTTAAAAGTAACTTATGTAAAATAGAAAACCCGATAAGGAAGTGGGTGCTGGCAAAAATCAACGCTAGTCCTTGGGGGTCTGTTAGCCATTTGTTTTGAAGGAGGGGAGGGAGGAGGGAGGGATTGTCTGTTAAGGTTACCTGTAACCCCTTTACAATATTAATTTTTTTTAAAGGAACATTTAGTTTGCATTGAGGGAAGGGAGGGAGGGGTTATTTCTTGACGTTTGGGAGCGACCTCCCTCATGGAAAATCTTGGATACACCTACACGGTCTAATCAGACCAATATTTGACAGGGGGAGGGGAGGTTAATCCTTGCACCAATATTTGAAAGGGGGAGGGGAGATTAATCCTTGCACCAAGATCACCATGAATTTCTCTACGATATCTCCAAACGTGGTAAAATGACAAAGTTGAAAAATGTGCCACCCAACGATGGTGTAATAAACTGATATCRGTCTGCTAAACAATCATTTGTACGCGTCAAGGTAAAGGCGGTTCGAATACCATATGCCTATTTCTCCGGGTTCGCCAGTTTTCCTCCCTGTGCTAAACGTTTTAAAAATTCCAATTTAAAGGTATAAATTTAAAGGTAAGGATATCCGAATTATCGCTTTGTTGGTTGCTATTCTTTTAGGTGGGGGACACACGCTCGTTTTTTACTAATGAATTCAGTGCAAAAAAAGATAAACTGAGTAAGAACGAATGATAAATACAAGGCTTGTTCAGCTTGTTCAAAGATAAGCCGAGTAAGAACGAGTGATAAATACTAGGCTTGCTCAGTTTTCCACGACAAGCTCAGGTGACTGACAGGAATGAGAAAAAATGATGAAAGTGTATAACATAATAAAACGGAAAAGAAAGTAGTGGGAATGTAAATTTGCAAAAAAAATGACCGAAAATGTAATTTTTAAAAATCCTAAATAAGAAATATTGGGGAATAAGTATAAACAGCACTTTGGAATGCAGCTCAATCTGGGGACAAAACAATAGGTTCCAATTCTCTGGAGATTGGAATTCTTTTGTTTTGTCCCCCAGATCGAGCTGCTTTGACGTCACATGCAAGGCTCTATATGACGATGCAAGCCAAACTGCCTAAGTTCGTTAMAAGAAAACTGAAAAGCACACCTAATATCGTTTTGCAGAGTTTTGCAACACTGTTGCGACCACGGGCGAGGTATAAAAATAGAACGTCATTACAGATAAATTTTATGAGGTTAACGAATGCGACCGAGGTTAGCAAAATGCCACTTACTACTACGTAGATTTTGATGTAGCAAAGAGAAATGAACTGATAATATCATATTAACTGAAAGTGGTATTCATCTTTTGATGACCGGCTATAAATAGCTGTCTGTAAAGAGGAAGCCATAACAGTGACAGATCTAGACCTATATAGGAGTCAGATTGAGCGACGTTTGAAACTGAACTTGTTTCAGGAAATCGATAATTAAAACAATAAAAGGTACGACTAGAGAATTCTGATTGGTTGATACCGGAGATTTTGGCTTAGGGAGGACTTTCTAGCTCTCAAGATGTTTCAGGCAATCGATAAAATTGGAAGGTTTCTCTAGTTATTTTTATAAAATAGAAAGCACAACTACTGAATTCGGATTGGTTGATACCGGAGATTTTTGGCTTAATTCGAGGAACGCTTTTATAGCTCGCACTGTTCAGTTTGGTAAAATTATGTAGAATACGTGACAAATACTAGTTTATTGTTAGTTTATATAATGTATACATCCATTTCCGAGCTCGTTTTCTATACCTTGCAAATTTTWAAAAAATACCAAGTACAGACATCCCAAAAGATGTTTTTCACGAGTATTAAATAGCGAAATAGTGGAATCATATTGAGACTGTAAAAGGGCCAATTGCTATGTAATAGGACACGGCATATGAGGAGCACTGAACAATTTGTGACCTGTTTTTTCAAAGTTTGATTTCAGATAATCCCGGTTTGATCACCAAGGCAACCAGAAATCTTTCTTTAAGATTCACTCTTTGTTTGAACAAGTGACTCATATCATGTACAAAAACATATTGCTTTGGCTTGTAACAATGCAATGCATGCATTAGTTAGCTTTCAAGTACTTGGTTATATTAGGCAGTCCGTTCCTGACATACGACGTTCCAACACATTATAACTGTAGTTGGTTACACTAGAAAGTACATGACATTCAGTGATTCCAATAAAAATAAGTGCGCAACTCAACGCATTAGCTAACTGTAGTAAGTGTAACAAGTGCATCTCGCAGCACGACACATACCTAAAATTACACTGCAAATAGATTGGCTATTATGGGGGGTGAGGGTGGTGGTGGACGGGGGGGG